TTTATGTGTACAGCACTTTGTGGCAGCTGCGGTTGTTTTAAAGGGCTTTATAAATAAAGTATTATTATTATTATTATTATTAAATGTCTGTGGTAAAACTCACCCATTCTACTGGCTATTAACTTCTCAACGACATCAGAAATGACGGCTTGTAACTCTGGTAAGGCTACGTCAGAAAAATATCTCTGACGGGACGATGTAGCGAAGCTCATTGTAATCCAAACATCTTTGGAATCTGACATCCTCAATGGAAAAAAAACTTCCACACCGCCGACATTTTGACTTCTTCCTCTCCGCCGTGAGATCAGGTAGGTGTGCATAACGTCATCATGTTGTGCCGCTGCAGGCATCCTTGTTGTCTTACAAAAACAGCACCTTTTATATCGGTGAGTTATTTTGATGGAATGGCCGATGTCCGATATTTAGCTTTAACTGTAATATCGGCCGATACCGATACCATGCCAATAATATCGTGCATCCCTAGTAGCAACAACAGAACTGTTCCTCTGATTTAACATTTTAATGGTGGCCATGCTGCATTATCATCCTAGGCAGAATTAAGTTCTTCTGTTCTCTGATCAAAAATATTGCAGCATTTTTTACGTTACAACTCAGTTTTAACACGAAACAGTGAGCTAGCATTGTTTTGTTGAACAGGGCCTGGCCCTAATTTACAATGTGTATATTAGAATAAACCATTCTGAAGTGCACTTTGTCTTTTGAATGATTACGTTTTAAATGAACGATGGTCAAACAAATTGGTTCAGCCGCTTGAAAACCTGCTGCTAAAATCCCACTACTTCTCACTGCAGCTGAACTCAAGTAGAGCTTATCTTGGCTTTTGTTGCGTGTTATGACTTTGTTTTTACTCCTGTCCATTTTTAAAGATTTACTATTATCCCTTTATTGTTATTTTACTATTGTCATGTGCTGCATATAGTTGCAGCCTTTGTTGTTTGCAGAGTGCTTTATAACCAATTTGACATTATGAGAGACTGTCCCAACCAGCGGGCCATCATAAATATTAAAGCATTGTGACATTAGTAGCCTGGCAGTAAATTATTTAGTAAAAATGAGTCTGTATCACAATGTCAATCCAGGGGTAATCTTTTAGGACATCAGTCAGGCTCCCCTTGGGTGAACAACTTTCAGAGAACATAAAAGTGGAGTGGAGCAATTTAAATCCTTTAATTGTGCAAACTGAAAACTGTTGCCTTTGATCGCGTTCTTAGCTCCTGCGTCGTTTTGAAATGCTTTCAAAGGAAGTGAACTCTTTGGCCTGCAGCTTTCCTTCTTGACGCTGTGGCCTAAAGTGATCCACAGACAGGTTGGAAATACTGGAAAATCCTTACGATCTCTTTTTCAACTCGTCAGTAAGTTATACAAAAATACTCATTCTGCAAGTCGACCCATACACTGACAATCCAGAATTTAGCACACACACACACATATCTATGTGTATGTATGTATGTATGTATGGATGGAGTATATATATAATGTTTATTTATCATCTGCTCCCCTCTTAGTTGCCACAGTGAACTAACTTGCATAAAGAAATGGCAATTGTTTTTACGCCGGATGCCCTATCTGATGGAACCACAGACCACCGAACTACCACAGCCCTCTGTGTGGAGCAGAGAGCTGCTATCTAGGGTGCCCGGGGGAGCAGATGGTGGGGGTTAAGGGCCTTGCTCAAGTGCCCAGATTGGGGCAAACACGGGTGGAGGTAGGTGTGGGTGCTTCACCTTTCCCATGCACATTCATTTTGATGTTGTCAGTTCAGGGAGTTGAACCGGCGACCTTCTGATCACAGGCCCACCTTCTTTAGACTTTGTGCCACACACACACACACACACATTTATTTATTATATATCTCAGGCTAGGGAGAGTGGTGATGCAGAGGTTAGAGAAGGTGGGCCTGTGATCGGAGGGTTGCCGGTTCAACTCCCCGAACTGACAACATCAAAATGTGTGTGGGAAAAGTGAAGCACCCACATCTGCCTACACCCTCATTTGCCCCACTCTGGGCCCTTGAGCAAGGCCCTTATTTATCTTATCATCTGCTCTCCTTGGCGCCCGATAGCAGCTCTCTGCTCCACACAGAGGGTGTGGTAGCTCCGTGGTCTGTGGTTGTGTCAGGAAGGGCAGCCGGCGTAAAAGCAAGTTCCAAGTCTTCATGCGAGTTTGTTTGCTGTGGCGACCCCTGAAGAAGGGAGCAGCTGAAAGAAGAAAAATGGAAAATCTCAGGCTACATTGAACATCTGATTGTTGTATCAGATAACAACCTTTGATGACAATTGATGGCGCCTGATTCTTTGGTTCTGCCTGTTTGGTAGCTCCAATCTGTTCACTGGCATCTTTTACTCAGGGGCGTGCACAAGTCTCTAATTAAAACTGGCGCAATGGTGAACGTGCAGGGTTAGGAATATCAGGACGCGCTCAGTTTAGTTAAATACAGCCAAAAGCTTCTATTCTATTGTCTGGGTTTGTGGGGATTTCCAAACATCAGTTTAAATATTTACCAGCTTCAAATCGACGCGCTGAACTTTGCCCTCCAGGCTCAGGCGCGTTCACGCGTCCTTTATAACCGCAATCAGGCCCTAAAAGGAAACATTTACGACAGTTGTGTTTTTGTTGCGAATCACTCCGCGTGCGTTTTGTCCTCGTGTCAAATGTTTCCCCAAATCAAATCTGATCCGGACAATTACAGCCGGAGCGCGCTCCCGCCTTAAGTAAACGCTCTGCCCTAGCTTGCGCGCGCGCTTGCCATACAGAGAGAGGGGGTGCGCCCAAGAAAAGAATTTGAAGCTGCGCGCGCTGCTGGTGTTGAGACTTGTTGTGCAGAAAAGGTCGAACCACAGTGAAGGTTCTGTTCCTGCTAAATAAAATACCCATAATGCACCTGGGTCCGAGGGCTTGCTCCGTTTACAGATTCAAATATGGGAGAAACTGAATTGTGGCACGAGGATAGGTATCTGACCCTTGACCCTAAAGCTCACTTTGACTGTTGAATATCAAAAAGCTTTCTGGATTATGTCAACAGAAAGACTTTCACACCGATCCTTCTTAGAAAAACACTTTTTTTAAATGTTGATGCGCAACTACCCAAATAAATCTTAACTGACACATGTAACTAAAACTAAAGTCCGTTTATGAGCCTCTTCCAGGTAAGTTATTAGAACTTTAACTTTATTTTAAATAATACATTAATGCAGTGGTTTCCAAATGTGTTTGATTCTGACCCGCAAGCCAACAGCAGAAATTAACTGCTGCAGTTAACAAGCCCTTAACAATAAGAGCACAAACAACCTAACAGTTAAGACATTTTTGCTGTTTGTTATTATTATTATTATTATTATTATTATTATTATTGTTATTATTTGTCCAAATATTCCTTTAGCAATTTTATTTCATTTCTGGAAATCATCTCGACACCTCCATTTCTGACCCCAACTTTAAGAACTGCTTTGCTTAATCTCTTATGGACATGAAGAAATTTACTATCTATCTATCTATCTATCTATCTATCTATCTATCTATCTATCTATCTATCTATCTATCTATCTATCTATCTATCTATCTATCTATCTATCTATCTATCTATCTATCTATCTGTCTATCTGTCTATCTATCTATCTATCTATCTATCTGTCTATCTGTCTATCTGTCTGTCTGTCTATCTGTCTGTCTGTCTGTCTGTCTGTCTGTCTGTCTGTCTGTCTAGGTCAAAGGTCAAACAGGTTGTTGGTTAATAAAAGCATGCCTCAGAATATTTGATGCCATGTTAAAATCTGATCCTGTTTTGGTTTATTATTATTATTGTTATTATTATTGTTATTATTGTTATTATTATTATTGTAAAGTTGAACAAAGAGCTGCCTCTTCCTGTCCTATCAGCTGCAGCTCTCGTGCAGGGAGCTAATATCAGCCTAATGGGGAGTCATATAGATATGAGGATTTCTGCAGGTGTCAGAGAATCAGATACGGTGACTGAATAAACTCCATGCAGGTAAGTTTTAAAGATAGTTGTGATGCAGTCATAATATTTGGCAAACACACACATGGTTAGAAATGATTCATAAATGCGCCACAGCCGCTTTATAGCAGAGACTTCTGCACGTGCTCATTAAGGAATACGCAAAGTGTCTTTTGGAAACACTTCCACAGAGACACTGCAGGTTTTAAAATGATCTGTCTCCATGAACATTTCTGAAAAATGATTTCAAATATGAGTCTAAAAACATGATCCACTGGTGTGCAAGATAAGAGAAATGATCCAAATCAATGCAGGAAAAAGCTTCTAAAAGGAGCCAAACATGCGCATAAATGCAACTAATTAAACTTAATTACTGCACCGAAATTTCAAACGACATCAAAATATATTTAGAGTTAAATAGTCTGCAGTTAGTTTCATGAAAATCTTCTAAAACGTCTTCTTGAAATAAAAACCTCTTTTCTCAGAATTTATTCAAACAAACATGTTACAATAAACACACTCGGACTTGAATCACCATTTTTTTTATACACTTTAAGCTAAAGAACTTCTGCAGAATCTTACATTATTGTACAATCAAGTTAAACATGCGTTTTTCTGAAGCCAAGAAATGAAAAATAATCTTAAACGAGGAGGCGACCTGCTCGGTGGCACTCTTAACCAAAAGCACACAGAAGCAGTATAAAATATTTACAATAGTTTTTTTTCTTGCTTTTTCTTATTAAACTCAACAGTTTAGTTGGTTTTAATCCTTGTTTTGGTCCCAGTGGGTCTTCAAAATAAAGCGAAATTAAAAAAAAAAAAAGTCCCTTTTGTTTGTTTCATATGTTATACCTGTTTATGTATTTACACTTAAATATGTACAATGTAACATGTCTTCATTGTTTCAAACACAATCCATAAAAGCTGGATCTTTGAATTGTTGTGCAAGTTCATCAGTAAACATGTAACCCGCATGATCCTTTTTTTTTTTCAGGGGGAGGAACCAATGATTGCAACTGATCCAGTTTAGTTGTCTTTCCAGGTGTATAATCTGTGATTCTCCCTCCGCGGTTCTGATTTGGGTCCGGGTCCAGGTTCAGGCTGGTCAGCTGTTGTACTGACAGGCGTTCAGGCTGGACCCGGGGCTCTGCAGGCTGCTGTACCCGAACGTCGGGTGCTGTTTGGACTTGAGTCTTAGGGTGGCCAGGCTGGAGTTGCACGTGTCCCGGTACACGCTGTACGGGGAGCCGGGGGGGCCGTAGGGACATGCGGAGGACGACATGGCCGAGTTAATGCCCGATGTGCCGATGCCGTTCAGGTTGCTGATGTTGTTGAGGCTCGGCGCCGCCATGCCCGGCACTGCCGAGTGGCCCATCCCGGACGCCATGCTCATGGAGGAGATGGAGTTGGGGGCGGAGAACATGGACTGGGAGGTGAGGGGGCTCATGGAGTTGAAGAAGGTGAAGTTCTTGGTGGAGAGCGGCGCCGGGGCCAAGCCCTTGTTGGTCCAGTTGTTGTAGGTGTAGGCCGGGTACATGTCATCGTAGGGCTGCATGAGGCCGCTGAACTGCGGCAGGTAGCTGTTTTTACACAGGTCCATCTGCTGGTTCCGCTCCCGCTTCCTCCACTTGGCCCGGCGGTTTTTGAACCACACCTGTGGAGACACACACGTGCGCCACATCGGGCTTTAATTACCGAGCAAGTTGCCATGGGAACCATACACTCCCGTCTATTTGTCTTAATGGTTCTCATTAAGAATTGCATCAAACATAAAGAGTTTATCGATAAAAACTGAAATGCGGGTCTGCATTAAATGTAAACAAAGCACTTTTATCTGCACATTTTACTCATCGCCTGCTTTTGTTTCCTTCTTTATGATTTTTGTTTACAAGTCTTTATGACTTTGCAATATCTTTAAAACACATCTCACATGTAATCTGTGATGCCATCAGAAACTCAGTCTTAATGTGTTACATTTTAAAACAGGCTTCCCATAAAAAGAAATAAACATCATAAATTATACTTGGTGCTGATGCATAATTTAAAATACTTGTTATCTTAAAGATAACGAGTTTTTCTTACATTTTAGTGGACTCATATTTTTCAAGCTGCATCAGCAACCAGAGACCTAATGAATATTTAATACAGTTATTATTTGATACTAAAAGACAAAAAGAGTATTAAAATCTGATTAAGCACACATTTTATTTTTCTTGTTAATCTTGCGTGAAAATGACTGAATGCACCACATTTTTTAAACAACCCATATGTTTGTTTTTAAATGTTAGAAATAAGAGTTTTGGTGTAATTTTTACCTCCAGCTGTTGTCTCTGAAAGTACTGGCAATCCATCAGAACTTGAACGCATCGCGGTAGACTTTTTTTTTTTTTTTTTTGGTTTACTTCAGTATTGGAGTCGGGGTTTTCGGTTCTGAAACATTAGAGCTATTTATTTATTTATTAAACAACACTTACATTTAAATTTAATTTGGCTCACAGGGCGCAAAGCACCAGGAAGCTTTGTTGGTGTTCACATTTTACATTTATTTTGACCTAAAGCGCAGATTAAAGTTATTAAAAGAGATGTTATTTTTCAATGACGCACTGTTACATTTATTTTCACGCATTAAAAAAAAAAAAAAAATCTCTGAACGACATTTATCAAATCGATTTTAATTCACAGTAAAATGTGAGTTTACAGATTTATGGTCGGCGCTGCAGAGAAGGCTGCGTTTTATTTAAAGGATCAAACAGTTAAGATCAAAACCCGCACGAGCCCGATGAGTTTTGTTCTTACAATTTTTGGTTAAAATAAAACTTATTTTAAATTAATTTAACCTATGTCGGGAAAAAGGGTCTCTTCCCTATAAAAAAATAAAAATAAAAAATAAAAACATACCCTTTATTTCTTTACTCTCCTAAATTTGTTCTGAAACGTTTTTTTATATATAATTTTTTTTTTACTTCCGAAAACTATGAACACATTTTTGATGCAATTTAAGCCAGACGATTGTTAAAATTGTTTTATTTTTAAACGGGCTGAGAATAAAAATCAACTGCGATAGTTTTATGTTAAAATAAATAAATAAATAAAAATCCACTCTTTAAGGATCACCAAACTGAAACTTGATTATCATTTTCACATTCATCACGACATGAATAGTTTTCTCGAGAAAAGGTCCAAAGTAATAAACCTCTCACAATAATTATTAATGGGGTTGGGAGCTGTTGTTTTCCGTGCGTGTCTGATGAATGAAATAACTGCAAAATAAATAAAACACCTAACAGGTATGAATCTGTTGACGCAAACAAGAATTCATGTTAAATAAAGAAAGCCATAATGATTATGCACAAAGTTTTGCGTTAAATATTAAATAATTTCCTCCCAAACTATTTTCTTTCGATTTATCAATAAGAGTATTAATTAGATTTTATTTTTATAGCTTTGGTTCCTGCGTCATTTATTTTTGTTATTTATAAGGTTGTTAAATAATTCACGGCTGATTTGGGGCTCTGCGCGCTCTTTACGCACAGCCGCCGGCCCGCCCGCTGCTCTTACCCGAACTCTGGCCTCGGTCAGGTTGGTCCACACGGCGATCTCCTCCCTGGTGCTCATGTCCGGGTAGCGGTTCCTCTGGAAGGTGGCTTCCAGCTCCTGCAGCTGCTGGCTGGTGAAGTGAGTCCTCTGCCGTCGCTGCTTCTTCTTCTTGGGATCGTCGGCGCTTCCGTCATCGCTCCTGAGCTCCGCGCTCCTCTCCTTCTCTGCAGCAAAAAACAATGCTCTGAATTACAGGAAGAAAATGTATAACTTGCTTCTGTTAGAGGTAAGTATTTCAGTTTAAAAACCAAAACTTTGTCAACCAAAACTGAAAGAAAAAAAAAGGCCCGAGTAGAAATACAAAATACGCATTTGAAGGTTCTTGCGTTAATTTATCCAAACCAATTAATCTCCTTATATTTATGTCTTAAACTCTCCATTGGGCTGAGAGGGGCACGCGCAAAGGTCACAAAACCAGACTCTGGCTGTTTGACCAGAATAAAATAAGCACTAACCTTAAATATAGAATTTATTTAATCATTTCAAAAGGATGAAATGAATAATTGTTTTTTTTTTTTTTACATTTAAAGCTCTCCAAGCGGGAGTTTAAAAGATCTGAGGCAGGACCCGGATACTACAGTTTGTTTTAACGCAGCCCAGCCTGTTCTGCACATTTTCCACCGTGACAGACTCCGGGGTCCTGCCAAGTGATCGACTCCGACAGCGCAAGAAACACAAAAACAGAAAGTAAAAACGCCACAAACTGCTCTTCTCTTGTTGTGCTTTTGCGCAAAAATCCGGTGCATTTTTGTCGCAAAACCGACTTTCTGCGCCCACAACGGTGTCCCTTCTGCAAGTCGGACACATGCATGCCTGCTGGGGGGGTCAGAAGGGGTCGGGAAGCGCTCTGACTGTGTGTACCTGCCAGCTCTGCCTCTGAAGACTCGCTGCTTGAGTTCTCTAAAGTTTCTCTGCTGCTGTTCGGAGCTCTCTGTAAGTGAAACGCGGGGGCCACGTCCCGGGGCGGCGGCGCTCTCACTGCCTCTGCCAGTCTGTCCAAACTCATCCCACCTTAAAGACAAGGATGCGATGGGAAAAATTTAAAAAGAAGAATCGGGATGCGTCCTTGCAGCAGGGAGGAGGAGCGCACACACAAACTCACAGTTTTACTCAACAGCTCCGCGAGGAAAAATCCAAACACACCAGTACATGAGCGGCTGAAGCATGCACGGAGGTTTTCCACGAGAGCAATGTTTCTTTCGTCCTCGTTTGTTTAAATTTTCTTCCGCGACTAAACAACTTGGAGGTGGGAAAAGAAGCTCGCAGCTCAGCTTCCCTCCGCTGCAGGAAGACGCTCGTGTCCTCTGTGACCGACTGTCTCACAGCAAGAGTCCCACCCATCTGCTGCGCTCAGCCTCCCCAGGAGCGCGCGAGTCCCTCCCACTAAGACCTGCCAGAAAAGCCTCCACTCCGACCAGATGCTGTGACGTCACGCCGAACCAAAAGAAAGTGCTTTTAGTTAACCAGAAGTTGGGTTTACCTGGAAACCTTGGTCAAAGCAGTTAATTAATGGGGAGACGCGCCTCAGATACAGAACATTAGCCGACAAACTGAAGACCCGCGGCTCTGCCACGGCCCCTGCTGCAGTTTGGTTGGTCCCTGATCATAATTTAAATATTCTGCCCATCTGACAAATAGCGTCCTTATTGTCTCATTTCAAATTACAAAATGAAGCATTTTGTCCTGAACTACCAAGTAGTTTGACAATGTTTACACTAGAGTTTGTGCTATTCTCAAACGTGGACCCATGCATGCACACTCAGTGTACACAAAGCTGAAAATGTAGAAGTTCAGAAAAGCCGTTTAGGTGGAAATATAAGAATGCTCCTGAATGCAAAAGAAAAGCGAAAGAACAAGTGAGATAACTGTCAAGAATAAAAACTGAGGATCAAGCTCCATTGTGGAGCGCCATAAAGACCATAATCTGCACATCAACTGCACTATTGTGTCAAATCTTTTTTTTTTTTTGGGTCTGTGTCTTCATGACTTTGCAAGAGCAATGAGCTTGTGGCAATTAGCCAACTTTGAAACCAAGATATTTAGGTTAGAAATTTCTTGTCATTGTTTTCAGACTTGGAAAAAGCAGCAAAGAAAACCCGAACTCTTGCTGATGAACTGGAAGCAAGAAAAAGATGTTGGACATTAGACGAGCAACACGGATCCATGTTAAGGTATAGTTAAATTTGTGTGTGTCTATTTCAGTTAGTTTGAGATACATTTTAATTGACTTAATGGATTGTCCCAAACTGCAAATAATAAATGAAAAAGAAAAAAACAGGAGTAAGAACATTTTGACGTTTTAATCGGCTGTTTGTTCTAAATTCAATAATTCTTGGATAAATATATTTTATATTTTATATCAAATGACCCACGCGTTTTAAATGTTGCCCTCTTTGTAAATGAGTTGAACACTCCTGAACCAAATTCCTGCTCATAGGGGAGCGCGCAACGTGGAGCCTTTTGGATAAAACGGGCTCTTTATGCGGGCACGCTGGAAACCCATCCGGCAGCTGGCTGCTGCCACACACACATACACACACTCTCACACACACTCACAATGTATGTCGGATATGCACCGAGCTGAATAAACATTTGCCATCCACCACCGGCCTGCCCTGTTACTGTTCTCTCTCTAGATGACTTCATTGTGGCCATGACTGATGAGCGCTGCGCACTGACAGGCGCGTTGAATCCTTGGCACAAAGGCGCAATCAGAACTAATAAATGGCACATCACGGCTCACATTCCTCCGCAGGATGTTGTATTTTTTGTGCCTGGACTGTGACCAACACCGCAGCTTCTAAATAAATCAGAGAATATTCATATTTGACAGCTGCGGGTCGGTTGGCGCTGTTTGTCCAAATAATCAGACATTTGCGCTCCAGCTTTACGCACTCCGGCTCTGAGTCTTGGCGTAATGGAAACGCTGCACGTCCTCTTGGTCACATTTAAATGAGGCTACTAATGTTGACACGTGTAACCTCAGTCCGTTGTGTTGGCGCTGATGCGCGCACTGCAGGGTGGCCTGATGCGCCTCTATTGCGCCTATGACTTCCTGAAAGCGCATCAAGGCTGTGCAGGATTTGAGCTTGGAATAGTGGAAATTAGAAATTAGGAATAAGAGTTTGACTCATGGTGAAGCTGCCAGTTTTTGTTCTGTTACAGTTTGTGATCATATTTCCTCGGTGTTGGTGAACTCGGTGTTTCTGAACCAAATGGCGCAACAAGGCTGCAGTTTTAAACCTTCAGGTCTTTGACTTTTTTTTTTTTTTTTTTAGTGCACAAATTCGTTTAAACTCGTCGAAAAACATGCAGATAATCTGTCGTCCAGACGCGCACGCACTGTGCAGTTCTTTGGCCTCCACTGTTCAGAACACTACTCGTGCGCAGAACAGCTTCATCCAGATGTTCTGTTTCGCGACACGCAACAGCTGCAGAAGAAATCAGCCCGTTTTCGAAGCTCCTCTCAGGTCGCAGCGCACTTGTTTGGTGAAAACGCGCGGTCCAGTGTGCGAGTTTGACGTCAGCCGAGAGGCCGCATAAGCAAACCTGACTCATTTTGTGCGATCAGGGAGGAATTTGATTCAACTCGAGCCAATAGGAGCCGCGCTCAGAACTGCTTGGCTCTGTTCTGGAGACGCGCACGCACCAGCTACTGATGTGCGCGAGTCTGTTTGGCGTGACTGGAAACATTTAACTGATCTGGTTTTTATTTGAGCTAAGAGCTTATTGCATTAAAGAATAAACAAGCACAACTTTCTCAAACATTCTTGATCTCGTGAGGAAAAAATGCGCTCAGAATTTTTTTTTTTTTTAATTTAAAAATAACAAGCAGATTCAGGAGCAAATATAAAAGATCTCACCTGGTCTGTTTTCCTTTTTGTTAGTTTCAGATTTATAGTTTTAGTCTTCTCTGCAACCTGAGATCAGCTGACCTGCAGACTTTCTGATCCACTCGGAGCGTCTGGATCTCGGCGCCAGTCTCTGGCTTTTTCAGCCTTTGTACAAGTGTGACTTCTGACATAAGA